TAAATGCTAAAGCTCAAAGCCTAAACCGTACCCCTAGACCTGGAACCTTCAACCCTAAACCCTAAACCCTCAACCCCTGAACCCTAAACCCTCAACCCTAAACCCCTGAACCCCTGAACCCCTAAACCTAGGAAAATGTTGGTGGAAAGACTGCCAAGAGGCCGTCGATCAGGTGCGGGTTCGGAAGTTCCGCTGCACAGGGCTTGTTAGGGTTTAGGTTGGTTGGTTGGGTTTAGGGGTTTAGGGGTTTAGGGTTTAGGGTTTAGGGTTTGGGGTGTAGGGGGTTTCGGGGGTTTAGGGTTTAGGGTTTAGGGTGTAGGGGGTTTCGGGGGTTTAGGGTTTAGGGTTTAGGGGTTAGGGTTTAGGGGTTTAGGGGTTTAGGGTTCTGGGGTTTAGGGTTCTTGGGTTCCTGAAGGGGTACTACGAGGTTGTAGGGTTCCTTAAAGGATAGCATACGGTTTTAGGGCTCCTTAGGAGGTACTATATTTATAAAGTTTTAGGGTTTCTTAAAGGGTAGCACAAGGTTTTAGATTTTCGAGTTCAGGGTTCGGGGTTTCGGCTTAAGGAGTCTCCTCTACGGTTTAGGGTTCAGCGTTTTGAGTTAAGGGCATGGGACAACGAGCCTAGCAATACTGTTGATGATACAAATCCTGCATTACCTTGAAGGACCCTAAACTATGGGAATTAGGGCATATTCCTTATAAAGGGTACTGCAGGATTTATATCATCAACCGCATTTTGGGGGCTCCTCATTATCAAGCGGCCCCCTCATGTTGCTGCAAGATTTCAGGTTGCCTCGTCGGGGGAGCTCGGGGAAAAGGAGGAGGTGGTCGTGCGCGTGAAGCGTGGTCCGGAGGGGTTTGGGGATGTTAACAAAGTTGCCGACCAGATCCTCGAGAAGGTGACGCTTCCGCAGGACGTGAAGGATGCTGTTCGCAACGACATTTGCGAGCTTGGCACCATCGTGCCGCAGCTTTGCTCCTGGTGCAATTGCCAAAACCCGAACCTTGAGCTTCTTGAACCCTAATGTCCAGGAGTCTACAGCCAGTGTCTGATGTAGGTTTGAGGCCCTCAACCTCAAAAACCCCACACAAAGTTGAGCTAAACCCTGAACGCTAAACCCTAAGCCCTAAACGCTAAAAGCCCAAACTCCCTCCCCCTCAATTCCCTGAATCCTAAACCTAAACCCTTAAACAAAAAGCCCTGAACCCCAAGCCCTGATAGGTGCGATTGCTTAGTTTTGAAGCTGGAGCTGATCGGAGTCTCGGCTCCAGAGCATTCGACTTCTGGGCTTTTGGGTGATTTAGTCAGTTTACCGGTTGAGGGCTTAAGGGTTTAGGGTTTAGGGGCACTTCTGGGGTTTTGGGGGTTTAGGCGTTTAGGGCTTGGGGTTTTAGGGTTTAGGGCTAAGGTTTTAGGGGTTTAGGGTAGCCTTTTGCCCCTATTCTTGAGGCCCCCGGTGGATGAAATTTACGGAGTGATATTTACGTTCAAATTTCTCAGTAAACACCATGGATTAATATTCCATTGTTATTAGCAGTTGCCAGCAGTGTCAGTTTAATTCACCAGGGTGCCCTATATTTCCTGAAGCCCTTAACCTTAAACTCTTATCATCACGGAGTACTGTGACCCTAAACCCTAAACCCCTAAACCCCTAAACCCTAGACCCTAGACCCCAGACCCTAAACCCTAAACCCCTAAACCCTAGGAGAAAAGAGCTGCAAGCGCTGGCACCGCGACTTCTGGTGCGCTCGCGCCATCGTCACCTACAACACAGCAGGCTATTGATTAGGTTTGTTTTAGGGTTTAGGGCTTTAGGGTTTAGGGTTCAGGGGTTCTGGGTTTAGGGTTTAGGGTTTAGTGTTTAAGGTTTAGGGTTTAGGTTAGGTTTGGTTTTAGGGTTTAGGGTTTAGGGTTTAGGTTTCCATTTGTTAGGGGCCCAACAAAGACATAGGCATATGCATTTTACCGGGATATCCCTACCCTAACCCACCAGAACCTACTTTTTTGTAGGGTCCCTGTAAATTCCATATTAGGGTTTATAATAAGAACCTACAAAAAAGTAGGTTTTGGTAGGTTAAGGTATACCTTCTTATCATAAGGGGACTTATGCTTACGGGATACACCGATCCTGAATTTTCCCTTACGTGCTTTGTTGGAGCCCTGTCTTTGGGGCTCATGTAGAGGCTCCACAAGGTTCTATGAATCTGAGTAGGGTTGAGGAAGTGCGGTTCAGGGTGGAGGGTTTGGGGTTTATAGGTTTGGATCTGTAGGGTTTAGAGTTTGGGTTTAGGTTCTGGTGTTTATAGGGTTTAGGATCTAGTGTCTCGGGTTTGGGTTTAGGTTTCAGTGGCTCTAAGCAGCAAGCCCGAGGCAGAGAATCCTACCTTGGGGGCACCATCTTCCATGCCGTCTTAAGGGGCGTCGGATGTTTGTATCTCTCGACCCTGAATCCGAAACCCTAAAACCCGCACCTAAGCCTTTTGACCATCGAGGCCTAAATCAGCAACACCGAACCCAATTGCCGTAAATCGTGAAACTGCTAAGCCCGAACCTTAAGCGCCAAAACCCTTAAAATTTTGAGGGTTTAGGTTTACGGTTTAGGGCTTTGGGGTTTAAGGGTTTAGGGTTTAGGGCATCCAAAACTGCCCGTTCCCAGGCACGCTGTATACGGGGGACGAGAATGTCAACTTTTGGGAGCTGGAACACAAGGGCACCAATGAGCGCATCATCCGCGACTGGGTTGCTTCAAGGGTTCAGTTTACCCTCAACCCTAAACCCCTAAAGCCTCTAAACCCTGAACCCTAGACCCTAAACCCCTAATGCCTAAACCCCTAAACCCCTAATCCCTCAACCCTAAACCCCTAAACCCTAAACCCCCAAACCCCAAACCCCCAAACCCTAAACCCTCAACCCTCAACGCTAGACCCCAATCTAAGGTTTTATCTGGCAAGGGTACCAGGGTTTCGTTGACTTAACTTGAGTTCCTAAACCTGCAAAAGCCCGCAAAATGTGGGGGTTAAGGGTTTAGGATGTGTTAAAAACCGCCCAAGGCCATAGTACTAATTCCTGTTTCTTCCCCTTTAACCCCAAAGCCCAGAACCCCCAAACCCTAAACCTTAAACCCTACAACCGAAAAGAGCCCAGGCGATAACTCAGAGATCCACTCTGCCGGCGTAGGGAACATCCTCTTCATCAAAGGCATGAAGTATCCGGATCCTGTGAAAGGCTTGATCCACAGGTCGGGTGCGAGAACGGGCAAACAGGGGTTTTAGGGTTTAGGGCTTGGGGGTTTGTAGGATTTAGGGGTGGGGGTTAAGGGCTCAGGGTTTGGGTTTAGGGATGGATGGTTTTGGGTCCCCAAAATTCGCATCATGATGCAGACTAAGTCTAGGTTCGCCCGTATGCCTTAGGCACAAACCCCAACTCCCCAACCCGAAGCTTTAAACATACCAAGCGCCGCTGATGCCTCCCTCATATAAGTCATCTTTTTCTTCCTTTTTTATAGATTTAAACCCCGGCGCCCTAAAACCCCAAGTCCATAAAGCCCCAGATCCGTAAAGCCCAAGCAACTAAAGCCCCAAGTCCATAAAGCCCGGTTCTCTAAGCCCTAAACCCTAAACCCTAAAACCCCCCCAGGTCACCGGAAGCCCAGTACCACGACAGCGGTCTGGTGCGCAATCGCCTCGTGCTCAAGGTCGATGTGCCCGAACCCGAGGCTCGTTAGGTTTAGGGTTTAGGGTTTAGGGTTTAGGGGTTTTAGGGGTTTAGGAGTTTAGGGAGGGGTTTAGGGGTTAAGGGTTTACGGTTTAGGGTTTAGGGTTGCTTGCTTGACTTCTTCTTTCTTAAGCTTCTGTACTTGGCAGCTGAGTAGGTAACCTTGAACCTTTGAGGGTTTTATATAATTCTACTATAAGTTATTTGGACCGGGGTACTCAGGCCCTAAGTGTTTATCATCCTTTAAACCTTAAGTCCTAAACCCTAAACCCTAGACCCAAACCCTAAACCTGAAACCGAAAGTGAAGGCGCAGGCTTCGGCACGTTCTTTTCATAGCCTGGGTTTGGAGCTATCAGGATTTGTGGATTTGAGGGTTTAGGGGTTTGGGGTTTAGCGGACCCCCTATATTTGCACGTAGTTTTATGTGTACAGATCCCTGAAGAGCAGCGATGCCCAATCTGTCCCGTTCCATCATATGCGTCTCTCCGTTCCTCCTCCAAAGCAGAGCCCTAACCCTAAACCCTACACCCCTAAACCCTAAACCCTAAACCCTCTAAGCGCTAGCAGGCATGGCAAGAAGAAGATTGCGACTGCTGTCCGTGATCTTGTCGCCCTGAGAGGTGAGGTCTCAGTTCTGTATCCCTAAACCCTAAACTCTAAACCCTAACCCTTACCCTCAAAGGACTCATATTTTAAGGCCTTTGGGCCCAAAGACCCTATTATACAAGGCTTTTGGGCTATTTTGATGCTAAGGGTAAAGCCTAAACCCCTAACCCTAAACCCCTAAATGTTATTTTCCTTCAACTTAGGAGGACCGGGTCCTAGAGGCTACCAGATGATACATCGTCAGTGGGTTTGTTGGTGTTCAGAAAGACCTGCATTTATCAGCCGTCTCCGGTTTGGGGCGGGCTTTCTAACGCGATGAGGCGATAGAACCAGTTTCTGGAGTTTTGTGAGGTTGCCAATGCGACTGCATGGTGAGCCTTTAGCCACATACCTCGCTGGCCAATGAAACCTGACTTGTACAGAGGACTGCTGGCACGTGGCTTTTGCTCAGGTAGGGGTGTCGTTCTAAGCTTCTCTCTAATTCAGCAGCCAGCATGACCTGCGGCTTGCATGTTCGACGCGAACCAAAACGGCTTCCACGGTTCCTTTGGGAGGTTACACTTGTATGGGACATCTTCCAGAAATCCTAAATGCTCGGATTCTTATTGCAAGCGCCCTGCGGATAAGGGAACCTCCAATTCTAAGAGCATGCATCGTGCCATCCTGACGGGAAACAGCAAGGCACGCACCCGGAACCAGCCTCTCCTCGAAGAGTGAGGGCCAGCGAAGCAGAGTTAAGCCCAAAGCTCTACAAGCCTAAAGCTCGCAATCCTAATCTCCTCTCCTACAACAACGCCGCCCCTCCCTCCGCCCCCAAACGCTCCAAAACCGAAGCCTTGATAAACTCCAAACCCATACTCCCCATTACTCCCCTAAGCCCCAAAACTTCCTAAGCTCAACTTGACTGCCGGATTTCTGAAGCTAGGTTCCCCAGTAGTACCCCTTTGCCCTTTTTAAATTTTCGGTCTCCCCATTATAACCGAGTATTAGGAAAGAAAAGGATACCGTTGTTACTAGGGGTTACTGCGGAACGTAGATATAGCTATATTGTATATACCAAGGTCTTACAATACTTCCCCTGAGCCCGAAAACCCTACGTAAACCTGTACAGCCCGAAACCCCCAAGCCCGAAACCCTAAACCCTAAAACCTGAAGCCCAAAACCTAAACCCTAAAACCTTAAACCAAAAGGGAAGTATCCCCCCATAACTGCAAAAAACCGCAGGACGAGCCCATGCCCATGGCCGGGGAAGAGGCGTGGTTTTTGGTGCGGTTCGAGGCTTTAGGGTTCTGTTCAGTTCGGGTTTTGGGTTTTGGGTTTTGGGGTTTTGGGGTTTAGGGGTTTAGGGGTTTAGGGTTTAGGGTTTAGGTGTTTAGGTTAGGGGGGTTTAGAGTTTTTGGGTTTAGTCTAGGGGTTACCAAGCCTTACATCGGATACTGCCCCAGCTGCCACTCAGTAACTGTTGGACAGTACATATGCTCTAGATATAAGGCCCTTTGTGAGTAGCCTTATCATAGACTCGAAACCCTAAGCCCTAAACCCTAAACCCTAAGTAGCCTAAACCCTAAACCCTAAGTACCCAAGCCTTACACTCCCATGTTGGAAGCATCAGAAACCTTCATCAAGGTACTAGTATTATACTACTTGCCATACTTTGGTAGCCGCGAATGTTAAAACCCCAGCGGAACGCGGTGCCCAGTATTTCAACAGTGGTCCCCTCAACTTTCTAGTATTCAGGCGCGATCTGCATTTAGGGTTTAGGAGTTTAGGTTTTTGGATGAATTGGTTGGGGGTTGGGGTTTAGGATTTAGGTGATGCAAAGTTCGGGTTCAGAGTTCGGGGTTATAGTGTGAGGTTTTACAATGTGTGTTAGGCATTGGGGCTTTGAGTTGAGGGATGAAGGTTTTGAGAATTAATTTTGCAGGAAGGGCTTCAGTTTCGGTTTCAGGTTTTGAGTTTGATGGCTGTTGCTTCAGGCTTCACGCTTTTCGGCTTCCTTCAGCAAAGACACAGACAAAAACAAGCCTAAACCCTAAACCCCCAAAGCCCTAAACCCTAGGCCCTAAACCCCTAAACCTGGATTGCCACAGTCCTCGAAACCCATAAGCCCCGTAAGCCAGAGGAGGCCACGGCCATCAGATCTTCCAGCCGAAGTACCGCCGGGTCGAGGCCAAAGAGGCAGGGGCTTTGACGCTAAACCCTTATCCCGAAACCCTAAACCCCTAAACCCTAAACCGTTTAGGCTTTGGGGTTCAGGGATTCAGGATTCTGGTTAAGGTCGGATGATTATGGGTCAGGGAGAACGGTTCAGGGGCCTAGTACATAATAATCACGGTTTCTTCTACGTAGCGAATGATTGGATCCTTTTGACCCTTATGTTTGGGAGTCTTTATGTGGAGAAGGGTTTCGATCGGGCTCTTAGGCTTTTAGGGAGTTTTGGGGGTGTTACAGTTTGGGTTGGATTCTCGCGTATACTAGGAATACACTTATAAAATCTACTGCGTATGAATTTTCGTCGGGTTCGACAAGGCTGCACAGGGCTGCAGCAGTATCCCTTATTACCCTAAACCTTAAACTGCCTTAAACCCTAAACTCTCAACCCTTCACCCTCAACCCTAAACCCAAACTCTAAACCCTAAACCCTAAACCCTAAGCCGCAAACCCTAAACCCTAAACCCTAAGCTGCAAACCCTAAGCCCGCAACCCTAGACTCCACGACCCGCCTAAGGGTTGCTTGGTGCGGGGCCGGGGGTTTCTACCTTAAGGTTACCTTCAGGCTCTTCAGGAGTCTGTTTTGTGGGGTTTAGGGCTTAGGGGGATTAGGGTCACCCCTAAACCCTAAACCCTAAACCCCAAACCATCAGGAGTCTGTTGTGTGGGGTTTAATTTTTTTGGCGATGGAGGCGTTGGGGAATCCAGAGGCTGGGGCCGGGAGTGGGCACACGGACTTTTAGAGCGCCGGGGAGGCCATGGCGATAAGGGTGATTACTTGGTTCATGGGTTTAGGGTTCATGGGTTTAGGGTTTAAGATTTAGGGTTTAGGGTTCATGGGTAGCTATAAGTGGGGCTATAAGGAGGGTAACTACAATATTAAAGCCATATTAGGTGACTTGTCTTCCCACCTAGAACTACCCATGAACCTCCAAGTAGTCCCCTTCTGTGAGCTAGAAGCCCCTTTTACCCTAAACTCCCCACCTGTAGTTTCTTTGAATTTGGTCCTGGCCACAGCCCTTGCCGACTCTGTCCAGGGTGCAAGGGACTTTCACTGAGAAGGTTGCGGCGAGATCCGAGCTTGGTTTCCACCCTAAGCCCTAAAACCTAAACACTAAACCCTATACCCTATACACCCTACATCCGAAACCCTAAACCCTAAACCCTAACCACGACTATATACTTCCAACGAGCCGCCAGGGATCGCCTTGCACGGCTCGGGTACCTATGAGCAAGGTCGACAAGCAATGTGGGTGCTGGGGGACCACGCGGAGCCTCCCCTGCTTTTCTACACAAGTCTGGGTGTTCTCCCAGACACTGAGGAAGCTACCCCCCATCTTGGGCGCATCTGGGGCTTGTAGACCCGAAGCGCTGCTTCTGCAGGCGCAGGCGTTGCTCTCGCTCACTGACCCTTTCTTCATTGAAGCTGCACGGGCTGATATGTTTTTCACGATGTTAGCCCCAGTGCCAAGTTACCCCTGAATACGTGTCGGGCTAGCTAACGGACCGCCCCGCTTTCACCTGCGGTGTTCCAAAGCCCTGCGGATTTTGAAACGTTTGAAGTGCTGCCGCCACATACTGTACCCCTTCATCAAAAAACCTGTCTGAAATTGGAGAGGCGGCCTGACTGTAATCTCTTATTGTTTACGGTGTACTCCTTAATTGAAGGTTATTTGGCTCTCTCGGGGCAGGAGCAGCCGAAAATTGAGGTCCTGGAACTTGCGGACGAAGCAACTTGCCTCACTCAGGGGTTCGAACCCCTAAGCCATATGAACCTTAGACCCTCAACCCTAAACCCCAAAGCCATATAAACCCAAGACCCCTAAACTCTAAACCCTAAACCCTAAACCCCAAAGCCATATGAACCTTAGACCCCTAAACTCTTAAGCTTGAAACCCTAAGCCCTCAACCCGAAACCCCAAGCTTAAGCCTCATTGAGAAGTCATTAATTTCTCTACCTAAGGCTTTTTTTTTGCGAAATGTGCTTTGGGTTTAGGTGCTTCAGGGATATAGCTTGGGTGCTTTGGGGTTGCCTGGGGATCCAAAAAACCCTGTTGTTTGGGGGTTTAGGGTTTAGGATTGGTTTAGGGGTTGTACCCTGTAGGTGTTTGGGGGTACAGGCATTGTGGTTGACAGGTACCCTAAACCCTAAACCCTAAACCCCTCAACCCTAAACCCTAAACCCCTAAACCCCTAAACCCCTAAACCCTAAGCTACATGAATGCTGGGACCTGCAGCACAGGCATGGACAAGAAAAGCATGGTGCAGTTCCCTAACCACCCAGGTACCTACTATATAGGGCCCTAGGGGCTCTAGTACCCTATATAGTAGGTACCTGGGGGGCTTAGGGTTGATGGACGGTGTCTTTTTTCTCTCCGGCTTCCTTGTGCTCTTGCTATGACCAGCTAATGTCTGTTCCTGCTTTCTACCACCTTGGAGTTGCTTCAACCAAACTGACTACTGCGAACGCTGCAGGAGCTGCTGCTGCTGCTGCGGCGGCGGTAACGTCTGTCGCTGCACATGCTACTGCCACTGCTCCACAGCACTGACAGCCCAGCAGCGACAACAACAATGAGGAGGAGGAGGAGGAGGACGACCTAAACCCTAAACCCTTAAACCCCTGAACCCTTAAACCCTAAACCCTAAACCCCAAAACCCTAAACCCTTAACTGCCTAAACCGACGAAATCCGACGGAAGGCTTTTAACCCTAGGTCGTGAGCCCGGAACCCTGGAAGTTCTTGAGAGGTCGCTATGCCGAAGCAAAGGATGCAAGCACCAACCGCGA